AGCAGTCATGGTCATGCACACCACTGTGGTGACAGGGAAAGATGGTAAGAGCCACATGAAACTTTTAAAGTAACTCCTAGAACATAAACTGGGTCAGCAGTCTAAGGGGCAAACATCATTAAGGTGTAACACGAACTCAACAGGAAAAATGTTCTGTGCATTCCAAAGTCTCTGCCTATATGACTGTAACCCCAACACTTGGAAGGTTAAGGTGTTTTATATGTTTGAAGCACCCTGGGCTACAATTCCAGACTCTCAAGACAACAGCGGAGATGGTTTCCCCCCTCAAGAAATTTAATTATAAATTCTTGATTATCCTATGCTTAAAATGTTCTTAAACATTATTTTTGAAATTACTGGAAGCTCTCCTTCCTTTTGAAGTTATTTTTTTTGGGGGGGGTGGTTGGGGAAGTTTGTTGTTGTTGGTTTTTTATTTATTTATTTTATTTTTAAAAAAATAAAATTTATTTTATATAGGAGTACACTGTAGCTGTCTTCAGACACACCAAAAGAGGGCATCAGATCCCATTACAGATGGTTCTGAGCCACCATGTGGTTGCTGGGAATTGAACTCAGGACCTTTGGAATAGCAGTCAGTGCTCTTAACCGATAAGCCATCCTTCCAACCCTGTTTTTTTTATTTTTTGAGACAGAGTTTCTACTTTCAAGGCTGGCCTGGAACTCACAGAAATCTGTCTGATGCTTTCTGAGTGCTGGGATTCAAGATGCCCACGACCATCACCACCATCACCATCATCACCACCACCACCACCATCACCACCACCACCACCACCACCACCACCATCACCACCATCACCACCATCACCACCATCACCACCATCACCACCATCATCACCACCACCACCACCACCTGGCTTTAAGATTTATTTTTTTTAATTATGTGTTTGTATAATTAATTGTATGTATGGGTACATGGGGGTGAATGCAGGTACAGGCAGAGGCCACAAGAGGGCAAAAGATGCCCTGAAACTAGAATTACAGGCAGTTGTGAGCCACCAGATATGAGTGCTGGGAACTGAACCATATCCTATGGAAGAGTAAAACAGCTCTGACCCTCTGCGTCATCTCTCCAGCCTTTCTTATTGTTAAGTCAATGCCAACCGAACTTACTACATCAGAATCAAACATATTAGAGACAAAGAATGGTCTTTACCTTTTCTGAACTGTGGTGAGTTGTCCTTTCCATTGTCTTCCAGGAATACTACAAAAAAGATTACAAAACCAAATTATCCACAAGTTAAAAACTCCTGCTTAACCTAGAGACAGACAGTCACTGTATAGACATTCTGTAAGGAAGAGTAGGAGAAGTTCAGAATACTTTTTTTTTTTTGTTTTTGGTTTTTTGAGACAGGGTTTCTCTGTGTAGCCCTGGCTGTCCTGGAACTCGCTCTGTAGACCAGGCTGGCCTCGAACTCAGAAATCTGCCTGCCTCTGCCTCCCAAGTGCTGGGATTAAAGGCGTGCGCCACCACTGCTGGCCAGAATACTTTCTTATGATAGCTTTCACACTCTGACTCCTCTTCTTTTGATATTCAATAAGCATTAAGATACCTAAAAGTTTTGTAAACATGACATATGATAAAAAGAGAGAAGAGAAAGGACATTTAGGAAATGGCCTGAAATAAAATAAGGGTCAAGAAAAGAGACTAAAAGATTGAAATCAGCCAAGCAGTGGTGGCCCACGCCTTTGATCCCAGTAGTTAGGAGGCAGAGGCTGGTTGAGTTTGAGACCAGCATGGTTTACAAACCACGTCCAGAACAGCCAGGGGTCTGTTACACAGAGAAACTCTGTCTCGAAAATATGCACGCATGCACACACGCACACATACATAGATTGAAGCAACAGACATTTGTGTAATTCAAACTGAGATGAGTCAAAGCAAAGGAGAGCTTGGGGGAATAGCCAAAGACAAGACAAGACTCAAAATAAAACGAAATGATGGTTTTCCATTTAATGCTTTAGTATCAGGCCCAATTAGGAACTGCGCCATCCACTTTAATCACTGTAAGTGGCGAAACACAGGGACTACAGCCTACCTACTGCACATTATTTCGGTCACTACCTTTGAAAATAAAAATATGGTCATCTGGTAAAGTACTTGCTGCACAAGCAAGATCTGAGTTTAGATCCCCAGAACCCTTGTCTAAGCCTGGCAGAGCAGCCTGAACCTGTAACCCCAGCAATATGGATGTGAAGACAGGCAGATCTTGGGGCTTTTTAACCTGTGAGTCTAGACAAAATGCTAAGCTTGAGGTTCAATAAGAGACTCTTGTCTCAAAAGTAAGGTGGAATTTGATTAAAACAAAACAAAAACAACAACAATGAAAACAAAACTAGCTGGGCGGTGGTGGCGCACGCCTTTAATCCCAGCAGAGGCAGAGGCAGGCGGATTTCTGAGTTCAAGGCCAGCCTGGTCTACAGAATGAGTTCCAGGACAACCAGGGCTACACAGAGAAACCCTGTCTCGAAAACAACAACAACAACAAAAAACACACAAAAAAAACCCAAAAAACAAACAAAAAAAATGAAAACAAACCTAAGTCAACCTCTATTGTTCCCATGTGCATACGCCCCCACAAACCCTTTTACTTGCTATAATGTTGCCCATTATAATGTTGCCATGTTAGATGTCTCAGAAAATAAAATATAGTTCTACAAGGAAGAGATCTGTTCATATAAAAACAGGAAGTGCTCTATAATTTTCCTTTTGTGTGCCAAGTAGCAAGTAACACGAATTATTCCTATTACTTTCTTATGAGAATATTTTGTTTTAAAGGAGAAACAACTCTTACCTCAAGAATGGAAAAGGCACAGGCTGAATGAAATGAGTCTCAGCAACTAATAAACAACACACAAAACACATACACAGAATCAAAATTACCTTTCAAACCACGTTTTTATACTGTGTGCAAACGACTCTCCAGGATACAGCTGATTATTCCTTAGATACAAAAGGATGTCCAGGAGTTGGTTTGAATAGTGATCATCGTGTATGTCTTTGTCATAATCAAAGAAGGCTTTTAAAGTTTCCAACGGAGGAATGAGGTTAAGACCTAGCAATTCCCGATACAAACTCCAAGCCAGGTTCACATCTTGATGAAGGAGGGCTCCTTGTATACAGTCATCATAGTTTTTTTTGGAAGGGACCATGACTTTTTTAATGTCTTCTAACAGCAACAAGGCCTCTCTCCATCTGTCTGAGTGGATTAATCCCCGGATGAGAAGGGTGTAACCCCCAGATTCTAAATTCTTGTACTTGGCTTTCATGATTTCATAGACATCAATAACTTCTGACGTCTGCTTATGAAAGACACAGAGATATAAATACTTGACGAGTAAGTTATACCCTACGATGCCGTTGTTCTTTGCCGCTACCCAAGCCAGGAGAGACTTAGCCGTATCTACTGAACTGCAGTTGCATGCCATCTGTGAAATGACGACGTCTTCAAAACTGGCCTTTCCTTTGAAATCTTCTTTAAGTTTATCCCACTCTTTGGAATTCAAAGGTTTAGTTGGAAGTTGGAGAGTGCTTCTCACAGGCAAGTCATGCCCTTGATTCTGAGGGTGACCACTTAATTGGGACCTCTTCTTAGCTGCTCCAGCAGCAAAATAATGAGGTTCAGAAGAAACTTGCTTATCGTTGTCGTTTCCTTTCTTGTGTGTTCTGGCTTTGGTAGCCAGTAGATTGAGTACTTTGCTATTTGGAGGGGTCGTAGGTTTAACAGAAAACCATCTCTGTTGGTTCCCGATGACACAGTGAACCCTGAGAAAGACAGAGGCAGAAGAGGTCGCAGGGCCTAGCTCAAAGCAAAGGTTGCTCTTCCAAAGTTTTGGAAAGCTCCGAAAACCAGACAAACAGAAGGTCATCCTGCAGTGAGTTCAATGAGACTTAAAAATAAAACACTTTTACTCCACTATTTAAAATTAAGGTACTCGAGGCTGAAGTTGGTGGAAGCGCAGTTCTTTAAACGGAGACTTCTTGTTTCTCCCTTACAAAATCAAGATTATGTGTTTGGAGTGACTTAATGGTAAGGAAAGCACACAAGTTCTATTCATTAAACAACGATCCAAGGACATCCACACCAGTAGTAATCCCTAAACCAGAAGACGGAACGGGAATCCTGGGGTGCCTGTTACCTTCCAGTTTTCGAATCTGAGGAAAAAGCACATGGACCTCCCAGTTTGAGTTGTGTGGATTACAAGGGTCCCGAAGAGGGGCGGGATACCAAGGGAGCTAGAACTAGGAAATAAATAACATCGATCAGGAACCACCAATCGCAGGCCCAGCAGCAGCAAGAAAAGCCTCTCTAGGGCTCCTTGCTCTGTAGGTTCACAACTCTCTCCAGGCCGCAAAGCTCTTCGGAGAAGAGGGATTAGGGAAATGCAGCACAAACATCACAGGGAAGGAAGTGAGGTTCAGAAAGAGATCAGACTTAACTGTAGAGACGGTCGACAAACGAAGTTCACTTCATTAAACAACTCACCACGCCACTCACGCTGGAAGGAATCATAAATGAGGTGAAAACTACAATACCCACAAGGCACCGCGCTGAACGAGCCCCAGGGGCCTGGATGGCTTGAATTCCGGCGTTCTATTGAGTATGAAGAAGATAAACAAACAAACAAAGGTAATTTTAAACTTTTAATATCCAAGAGTGCTGGATACGGCTGCGTCTATTACATCTTAGGAACTGTTAAGATTTCCAGAGCGAGAACAAAATGTGACGAAAATGCTTTTCTCAATTCGGAAATGCCAATGGAGTCCTTTATCCTGTGGCGCGCACGCGCCAATGCCCAAGCGAAGAAGTCACGCAGGCTTCTTCAGGCCTTTAGAAATCTGGCTTGCTGAGCTGGGACACCTCCTTAAGAAGGATAATTTTTTTCATCTATTTCATGTCTGATTTTTGTCCCTGCTAGCGTGATCGCCGTATCCGGAATAGCTACAGCATCTTTCCTTTTTTTTTTCCCCTTTGTAGCCAAGGCTTCCGCCCGTGCTCAAGATGGCGTCCAGGCGTCCTTCTTAACTTCCACCTGTCTTGGTGGCGTCTGACGTCGCAGCTGGTAGTGGGTGGAGCTTTTAACAAACCGCAAATGTAGGGTCCTCTGAGCGGGAGTCAGACATGGACTGGAAAGACGTGCTTCGCCGGCGGTTAGCGTCGCCCAAGACGGATCCAAAGAGTGAGTTTGAGAGGGACCGCCCTCTAGATAGCCCGCCCCAGGCTAGAAGTGTCGGACAGGGTGAATAGGGTGGAGGAGGAAGTGAGAGCCATACTTTCCGTGTCTGTTAAACTTCTCTGACAAAGGAGTCAGAGTGGAATGAATGTGCTTTGGAGATCTACGGAGGGGTGACCCAAACTTCCTTGGTAAATGACTTGCTAGGAATGAAAGCATAACGGTGGCACCCGTTTTCCACGATCTTAGACTTAACGAGCCTCCAATCCTACCAAGACCTGTAATAATTCATCCTTATAGGTTTTCTTCCTTCCTAGAAATAGTGTTTTATCATATAGCCGAGGCTAGACTTTAATTGTTAACCCTGTTAGTTTCTGTCTGTCGCCTTTTAACTCTCCCTTTTCACGTAACCCTCCATTTTAAATTTCATTAATCCGTTTTACATTGTTCACTCCTTGGTCACACTTGCCAGTCTGGTTAAATCCTTCCAGTTCCACACCAGCTCCCAGGTAGCTGCAATTGGCTAAAGAAAAAAAACAGAACCTGACTGCAAAGATGGCTTAGCCATCAAAGGCTAGACTCAAACCAAAAAGAACACCAAAACCGTGGTGAGTTCTAAGCTAAAGTATCTGTTTTGGTTACATCTGCAAGAAGAGCGTTTGCTTTTCCACCCGTAATTCCTCTCATTTTCCCAAACCTCCATTGTTCACCTTAAATTGGTGAGCTTATTTTTTCAAATATATATCTCAAAGAGGAAGTAGAAGCAATTTATAAAGGAGAATCGCAACTGATTTCAGTTACTGTTTCTCTCAGGTCTTAGGTATGTGTCCTTACACCCAACCTTCACCTTTAAAATGAATTATCACTGGGTAGTGGTGGCATATGGCTTTAATCCTAGTTCCTGAGAGGCAGAGGCAGGTGGATCTCCAAGCTGGAGACCAGTGTGGTCTATAGAGAGTTCCAGGACAGCCAAGGGCTACACAGAGAAACCCTGTCTCCAGAAAAGAAAAGAACTGTGTATTGTACTTGAGTTTCTCCAGTCCCTCACTGGATTGCACCCCTTTTTGTGTATTCACTGGCTTCTCTTCAGTGTTTTCCTCCCTCTCATACATTATTAACTTTGCTTTTCCTCCTCTATCATTTCCATTGCCACTAACAAACATGTAATAGCCTGCATGTGTGTGTGTGCACCCTGCACCGTTTCTGTATATGTGTGTACCATTTTTGTGCGTTGCCCACTGAATGAAAATGAGGACATGGCCTACATAGGGTTGATGGGAAGTTTTTTCATTGAAGATATGAGGGAGAGTTGAGACTAGAAGGGTCCAGACTGAATATGACTAGCCGAATAAACTGGGGCATGAGAGGGGAGTGGTGGGGAAAGCAAGAGAAAGGGGGCGGGGCGCTAGTGGACCGAGAGAGCACCTGGGAACCAAGAGCCAAGCAAAAGGAGTGAGTAGCCGACATGCCTGATACCTAGGATCAGAAACTGAAGGAAGGCAAGCTGCGCGCCCACTGGAGCGGTTTAGGGTACGGGTGGGGTGGGAAGAGCTGGGAGCCTGCTTCTGCTCTCACGTGTTAGTAGGCACCTCAGTTAGTCATCTGTCACAGGTTTCTTTGAGACCCAACACCTCCAAAGGCCAAAAGAAGATATTGGATCTCGTGGAACAGGAGTTCCATGTGGTTATGAGCGGCCATGTGGGGGCTGGGAAACAAACTGGGGCCCCTCACAAGAGCAGCAAGTGTTCTTAACCTACTGAGCCATCGCTCCAGTGCCCTCCAAAGTTTGCTACATTTCTCTTAACCTTTAATAGGAAAACTACAGCTATATGAGTATATAGCAAATTATCCAGATTGTGTGGATAACATTAATAGCCCTGTCTTTTTTGGTTTTTCGAGACAGGGTTTCTCTGTGTAGCCCTGGCTGTCCTGGAACTCACTCTGTAGACCAGGCTGGCCTCGAACTCAGAAATCCACCTGCCTCTGCTTCCCAAGTGCTGGGATTAAAGGCGTGCGCCACCACTGCCTGGCTCAAAGGATGTGGTCTTTTTTTTTTTTTTAAAAGGATGTGTTCTTAAGGACAGCCCTTTACTTGTATTATCAGGTTTTCTTAATTATTCTCATTAGCATATACAAAGCTGTTATTTTTCCCAGTTGAGAAACTTTCTTCCTGTTTGTGAAGAATCTTGAGTCACCTCTTCTATATAGCTAATTCATTGGTCCTTTTCAATTCCTATTTATTTGCAAAATGTTGCAGTTTTCTCCAGCAGTACCAAGCCTTACTACAGAAACTGTGGCTTGGTCCAAGGTTAAAGGTTAACGTGACAGGGACAACGGAAATGCTGTGACAGGTGAAGCACTGAGGAATCCCTAGAGTCATCTTGGGAAGCAAATGATGCAGAAGAGATAGTGTTGAGAAACTAGGTGATAGAATTGAAGAGCCCAGTGAGGCTGAAGCCATGCTACGGTCCCGAGGTTCTGACTGATCAGTGTGTGTGAGAGCTTACGCTTTCAGAGCGAACCTGCAGAAAAGACCTGTGATCTTGCTAGACATGGGAGCTCTCCTCTGAAATCCCAGTACTTGGCTGACTGAGACACGAGGCCATTTGAGCAACAGTAAGATTCTGTTTAAAAAGAGAGGCTTGGGAATCTGGTGTGTAGCTCAGAGGTAGAGTGCCTTCGTAGTGTGCACACTGCCCAGGATTTGAATCTCAGTAAATATTATCTCCATAAATGTTTTCCTAAAAAAAGAAAAGTGGCTCAATGAGAAAGCTGCCTGTCAGCGGCAGGCAGGGGCTGATGGTAGGGGACCTCAGCAGGGTGGAGGGCAAGCGAGGACAACAGAGCACTGAGTTTCCAGCTTCAGTCAGTTTCCTTGGCTTTCTCAATGAGGAACTGTGGTCTTGAGGCTGAGATTTTTATGATTCGGGGGCTGTGCCTGTTGCTTCCTCCTCTAGCTGCAGTGTCCACTCCAGGACTCTGCAGTAAGTGCTCGGGTGTCTGTGGTGTCTTTAGTACTGAGAATTGAACCCAGGGCTTCGCACATGCTAGGTAAGCACTCTACCGCTGAGCATCCTCCCGGCCCTGGCACATGCTTTTGATAGGTGAACTGAAGCACTTCGAAGGTCTTTAGAAGAGGCCGTGACTTGAGGACAAGGCGAATGTCACTGATGAGTACAAGTTTGGGAACACACATATTCTCATTGTACTTGTTTACAGTATACAGTTTAGTTGTTGGTGTAAGGGAGGCTGTGACACTGGAAGGCAAGTTAGTCTGTTCTGTGTCTAAGCACCGTTTTAAAGGCCTTCCTGCCACTGCAGACATGTTAACTGGACTGTAACGGATAGGCTATCTGAAGTAAAACTAATACTTGCTATGTGTGCTTTTCTCATCTTACTTTTCTGCTGTTGTTACTAGGGAAAAAAAGCGAACAAGAATTAAAAGATGAAGAAATGGATTTATTTACCAAATACTATTCAGAATGGAAAGGAGGTAGAAAAAACACAAACGAATTCTGTAAGACTATTCCCCGGTTTTATTACAGGGTAAGTGCATTGTCTGAGTGGGTATTTCTGAGTCTGTAAATAAAATGTACTTTCAAAAGTGGGACCCAAAGCATATTTTTTAAAAATAGATGATTACATTGAACATCTTATATATTTTATTACAGTTGGTTTATCACTGTAATGATGAAGTACTTTGAATCCACTAAAATCTTGAGATTTGATATAAAGTGGTAAATATAAAGAAAGAAGACGTCTTACTCCCCTTTCTTTCTAGTCTTTATCATCGATCGTAGCAGTAAGGTGCAATTAGGTGATGTCGTCTCAACAGGCATGCTCGCATTGCCCAGACTGTTAAGCTACTCCTATTTTATTTGACGTGAACATAAGGTGACTTTTCCAATGTGTGTTTAGTTGCCAGCTGAAGATGAAGTATTACTACAGAAATTACGAGAGGAATCTAGAGCTGTCTTTCTACAGAGGAAAAGCAGAGAACTCTTAGATAATGAAGAATTACAGGTACGAGTGGAGTCAAAAGTGGTTTAGCTGTTGCCCATTTATTTCTCCTGTGTAAGTCATGCAGGATGTTACTATGTGTCCTCAATCATCACTGCAGAGTGGCACGCCACAGGTGTCTGAAGCTGAGTGTGCATGTGCAGCAGCATCTGCATGGCCTGATTTCTAAAGATGGTGCTCTTGTGGTCTTGCTTTTTAAGTCCCCATGCAATCCCAACGAGTAGTCATGGTTTGGGGAACACTACAGTGTGGTCCTCTGAAGAGGTTCAGATCCTAGCCCTGCCAGGGCATGACTGGAGGCGTGACACCTTTATGCTTTCATTCTCCCGTGTAAAGTAGACATAGCTGCCTACATTAGTTACATTGGCTATAGAAGCATTACATTTTGAAAGCTTAAAACTTTAGTAGGCACGATGTTAGTTATTAGTCATCAAAACAATAGGGCATAAGTTTGTCTTAACTTTATTAGACAGGAGTGATGCATTTATGTTCTTAAGTCCATTGTTAACTTACCTTCATTTCTCTACTTCTCTTAAGAACTTATGGTTTTTGCTGGATAAACACCAGATACCACCTATGATTGGAGAGGAAGCAATGATCAATTATGAAAATTTTTTGAAGGTTGGTGAAAAGGCTGGACCAAAGTGCAAGTAAGAGTAATGTGATTTAAAGAGGACCATGTTGTTATGTTAGACATTTTTAAAAATAGATTTATTTATTTTTTATTTATATGAGTACACCGTAGCTGTCTTCAGACACACCAGGAGAGGGCATCGGATCCAACTACAGATGGTTGTGAGCCACCATATGGTTGCTGGGAATTGAACTCAGGACCTCTGGGAGAGCAGTCAGTGCTCTTAACCTCTGAACCATCTCTCCAGCCCCATGTTAGACATTTTTAATGCCTCAAATATTGATGGAAGTTGGACTTACCACTTTGACCGACTAAAATGTAATAAAATTATTTATAGTCAAGAAAAAGTTGGAGGTTGGGGAGATGGCTTAGTTAGTTGGATTCCCAGCAATTATATAAAAGCTAGGTGTGGTAGCATATGTGTGTAAGCCCCAGTGTTGGTAGAAGAGACATGGTCAGATCTGTAGAGGTTGATTAGTGATCTAAATCAATGAGCCAGGTTTAGTGAGGGAATCTGTCTCAAAAAATAGAGTGGAAAACATTAAGGAAGACCTCCCGTCAAGCTCTGGCTTGCACATGCGCATACACACAGCAACACAAACATACACATACCATCCATACAAAGGTGTTGC